TTTCATTCTTTTGATTTTTATTGTTTCTTGATGTCTCATGGAGTCATTTGCATCCATTTATCCGGTTCTAATTTTTAAGGAAATATTTTCCTCAGTGAGTTTTTGTACTTCCTTTTCTATTTGGCCAGTTTTACTTTTAAAGTTCTTTTCTTCAATGAATTTTTTTGAATTCTTTTTCCATTTGGCCAATTTTGGGTTTTTTTGGTAGTTCTTCTCTTCAGTGGATTTTTGTGTTTCTTTTTACCATTTAACCTATTCTGTTTTTTTAAGGTGTTATTTTGTTCAGTATTTTTTAGTGTTGACCTTTTTCTTTTTTAAAAATTTTTATTAATTTATTTTGATTTATCAACAATCACTTTCATATGTTTTTGAGTTTAAAATTTTTCTCCCCCTTCCTCCCTACCACCCTCCCCAAGATGGCGCACAATCTGATATAAGCTATACATATACATTCCTATTAAAGATATTTTCACATTAGTGATGTTGTAAGTAAAAATTAGAACCAATAGGAGGAACTACTAGAAAGAGGAAACAAAACTCAACAGAAGAGAAAAAAAAATAGCAATTCAGATTCCATAGTTCTTTCTTTGGATGTGGATAGCATTTTCCATCATGAGGCCTTTGGAGATGTCTTAGATCTTTGTATTGCTGGGAAGGGTTAAGTCCATCAATATTAGTCATCACATAATGTGGCTGTTATTGTGTACAACGTTCTCCTGGTTCTGCTCACTTCACTCAGCAGCAGACCACACAAGTCTTTCCAGGTGTTTCTGAAGTTAGCCTGTTCATCATTTCTTATAGCACAATAGTGTTCCATTACATTCATATACCACAACTTGTTCAGCCATTCCACAATTGATGGTTATCCTTTCGATTTCCAATTCTTTGCCACCACAAAACGAGCTGCTATGAATATTTTTGTACATGTGAGTCCTTTTCTCATTTGTATGATCTCTTTGGGATATAGCCCTAGAAGTGGTGTTGCTGGATCAAAGGGTATGCACATTTTTATAGCCCTTGTTGCTGGTTCTGATGAGGAAAGTGGAGCCCTTCTCCACAATGATTTCTCCCCTCAACGATGGGTGTAGAGTCTAGGCCGGAAGCAAATCTTGTAGTTTAGGAGACACTTGGGCTGTGGGTCCTGGGATAATATTTTCTTTTCTTACTCTGGGTATAACTGATATTCTATCACTGCACTATACTTGGCCTTAGCCACTACAACAGTTGAACCTAGCCAAGCAGAGGATCATATTTTATGGAGAGCTTAAGTGACTTATTTAGTGTCACATCACTAGTGAGTAGTAAAGCTAGGTTTGTTCATGGTATAGAAAGATCACTAAATTTAGAATCAAAAGGCCTAGGTCCAAATCTTGGCTCTGACTTGTTTTAATGATGCCACCTTTGACAAACTGATTCCCCTCTTTGAGCCAAAGTTACTTATCTGTTGAACTGAATAGCCTGTAAGGTTACTTAGCTTTCTGCTTCTGTGGATTCAGGTCTACCACTACTCACATTTAGGGCTCTTTACATTGTACCACAAGATGTATGGTAGGCAACACTAGCACTGAGCTGCTCCTAAGACTTGAAGTGCGAGTTCATAATGGGTAATCATACCGTTTAAGAGTTTTTTTCGACTTTTAAATGACTTATTCCCGCTAGCCCTGAATTCCACATTCAGTCTTCTCTTTCTTCTGTGTTTTTGTGCCAGCCAACACAAAGAGGCAGCATTGTGTAATGAAAAGACCCCTGGATCTGAAGTAACAAGACTTGATTTAATCCTAGCTCTGCTATTTAAGATCTCTGAGCCTCACTTTGCTCACCTGTAAAATGAGGAGTTTGAACAAGACAGTTTCTCAGGCCATTTCCAACCCTAAATCTATGGTCCTCTGAATCCTTTCAGCTCCAAATTTATGATTCTGAGACTGTGACCTGAAACTTAACATATTAAAACCCAAGTTTATTATAGGAAATACTGTTGTGCAATGGAAAGAATAGTAGAGTCAGAGGACCTTAGTTCTGCCACTACATATGTGGCCTTGGACAAATCACTTAACCTCTCTGAGTCTTAGTTTCCTTTTCTGTAAAATGAGAGATTTAGGTAGATAACTTTTAAAGTGTTTTCCAGTTCTAGAGTTTTTATTGTCCCAAATAGGCATCTCTTTCCAGCTTGGCCCATAAGGCCACTGACATGATCATACCTCCTTGGTTGGCCAAGCTTATTGTTAGCTTTATCTCTTCTTCATTTTCTTTGTCTAGTGTATCACTAAATTCTAGCACCTCTTACCATTTGGTTATTTTGCTTTACTTGCCACTTGATCTTCCTTATCACTGAAGAAACTAATACAAAGATAAGAAAAGAAAAGGTAGCCAAAATTAAGTTCATGAAATCATGAATCTACCAGTAAATATTTACCAAATTCCAGAAATTGTCAAGAGAATGACTGCACAAGAAATTCTCTGTTTTTACATATATACAAATATATATGACCTTGTTTATGACTTAGAATATCTTTTAATTTGTCACTCATTCTCAAAAGAATCCATTATATTTATGTTTGATAATGATACTGTTTCCTATTACCAACCAACCATTGATTCCTCACATTGATTCCACAATTTTTAAATTTGCCTCAGGGTGGGAAGCAGGGGAATATCAATAGGAATAGGGGTCTTGGTAATGAAAATGAGAAGCACTTTGGAACTCACTTCTAGTGTCATTGATTTTAATTGACGTTTTACTCACAGGTCATAATATTTCCATTTTTTAATGTCCTGTGTCTCTAAGAGTCCTAGCTCATCACTGCTCTAACCTGCCTCCCAACATACCAAAATACCATTTTAGAATGTAAATTACTCCTTTTATTTGTGGAATCATTGAAGTCGTTGCTTAGTGTGATAACAAAATGACATATTGTTTTATTTCCTTGGAAAATCTCATGGTTGGGGCTAATGGAAAAAGGATTTTTTTTACTTCATTTCTCTGTGTCTTATTTATAAAATTATGCTTGGAAGGTTATGATTTGAACATAGTATTTTGAATCAGAATCCTTTAGTAATGATCCTGTGAAGAATTATTCTGAGCTTATTAAAATTCAAACACTTCATAATTCATTGACAGATACTAATGGAGGCAAAAGACTTTAATTCAAACCAACGAATTATTAGCACTGCCCATAGAAGTATAAATGAGTTCAACTAAAGCCCACAAGTGATTAGGGTTGACAGTGGAAGTATCAATGAGAACTTATTAATGAATGCTCTTCCATTCTATGGACATTGTCCTCAGTGAATAGTTTCAATAACCAAGAGACTCCTGCCAAGTTTCATCTGGGAAAAATAAAGTATCTGTAGAACTCTAACGAGTTTCTTTTCACTGATTAACAAATAACTCCCTTATGCCCCATCCTTTTTTTTCTCCTTAGAAGACTATTGATGCAATGCAAAACTCTCTTGTGCCAGGTTTTCATCGTAGAACAGAATTTTACAGCCATGTGTTTCTGAGAAAAGGAGTTTAATGACCAAAGGATGACAGAACTTATGTTTTAATGTTTTCCTCTGACATAATACATTTCCTTTCCCTTAACTTCATCTAAATTAAAATTGAGCCATTTAATATATTTGAATGTTTAAAGAAAAAAAATCATAAAATCATAAGGATCTGCTAAATATAAGTGTCTTATAATGTTCCTCTTGAGTTTGAAGTGTTAAGCATCTATGATTTTACATGTCAAATGCTTTATTGAAGGAAACAAAGCAAATCATTAGTTGATCTCTATATTGACATAAAATATTCATGAAATTATTAGAGAAAAATTGAAGTGAAAAACCTTCAGTCTTTATTATTTTGGGCTTCTTGGCAACATTTAGCCAAGAACTCACATTGTAGCTTCATGAACTTTTTTCTAAATAGATTCTATAGGGGCAGCTAGGTGGCGCAGTGGATAGAGCACCAGCCCTGGATTCAGGAGGACCTGAGTTCAAATCTGGCCTCAGGCACATAACACTTACTAGATCTGTGACCCTGGGCAAGTCACTTAACCCCATTGCCTAGCCAAATAAATAAATAGATTCTATAAATTTATGGATTGTTAGAATTGGAAGAGATTTTAGAAGTCATCTAGTACCCCCTCATTTTATAGATGACATTAAAGCCTAAAGAGGCCAAGTGACCTTGCTAAACAGTACATAAACTAGTTAATAGAACTTATACCCAGGCCTCTTTACTCCTCGGTTTGTATTTTTTCCATTGTACCATGTTGCCTTACCCTGGCAAATGGGGAATTTGGTAATAGGTATTAAATTAGGAGTTCATGGGATATTTACAACATGCAAATAAATTAAGCATTTTCCTGAGAACTGTGCTGCAGCTAAGAAGAATGTACTTTTTGATAATACTAGAAATTGTATAATTATCTACACTGTAGTGTCACTAATCCTCACATTCCAAATTCATCCTCAAGGAACATTTATTAAGTGCTTAATTGCATATGACAGCATGCTAGATATTATATGAAGCAAATTAGAAATGGTCTTTGCTTTTGAGAAACTTAGAAGACAACGCTAATGTTGACACTTGTGTAAGGAAAAGTACAAACTACATTCAAAAATCTATCTACACTTTATATAGATAATTATATACAAGCATTGAAAAAATTTTATAAGGGAAAACTTGACTAGTTTAAGTAAAAGTAACATGCCATTCACACAAATTTTTAAAAAAAATAATCCTGAACCTTTCAATATTATCTAATGATTGTTCCATCTTTTCTTCTTTACCTTTAAGTTCCTTGGATGCAGTATTTACAAATGTTGAATGAATTTCTGACAGCCATTTCTTGGATTCTCTCCAATTAGGTTTTTGTCTCTTGAACCCTGTCAAGTTTATTAAGGTCATTGATCACATGATGACAAATATAATTTCTCTCCTCTTGTCCTTGAACTCTTGACATTTTTACCATAGATAAATATTCACTTCTCATTTCCTTTTTTAGCTATGGTATATAAAACATTCTTTGCATGGTTCTTCTTTTTTCATTTTTTCTCCCAGTGCCCTTGGAACAGTCTCCATAACAATTGATTATAGTGAATCAGAAAATCTTGAGGATCTTGTACATTTTACTGCCAGGTGTGGTGGTCATACTTCTCATTTCAAAACTTGTACAGATTTCTAGTAAGGAGAGTGAAGTTTGTATTAGTGCTTTTTCCTCATAGACCACTGTTGTGAAAGATTCACATCAAAGCATGTTCTTTAGGCCCCTTATCCTTCAGGTCAGTTATATTGCACTGTCCTAAAGATGAGTCATCCTGAATACTGTTACCTCAAGGAAAGCAGTAAAGATGATGCTGTTCATTCATCTTCCCTCCATGACCCTCATTTATGATTTTCTACATTATAATGACAATGGAACTATTTCTCTAAAATCATAGAAACCTTGGAGAAATCTTTAGCTCATCCTACACACCTAGTCTTTTAGTAAATTTTTCTTTTCTTCTTTTACTTGTGTAGTAGAGTTTGAGGTAATGTTGGGTACTAGTAGGCCCCCTTCCTTCTCACTTTTTTTTTAGCTTTTTTCTTTCTTAAGTAAGTTTTTATTGATATTTTCTGTTTCTTAAATCACCATAGTTATCCCAAGTATTTCTCCCCATCTCTTTCCCAGAGAACCATCCCATACAGCAAATAACTACTTTTTTAGAGAGGGGAAAAAAGTCAAGCAAAACTGATCAATTCATTGAAAAAGGCTGAAAACATATAGAATGATCAACACTTGTGCACCTTTCACCTACATGGCTGGGTAGGTTGGGATTTTCTCTCATATTTCTTCATTCAAATCCAGCTTGATCTTTATATTTTTTTAAATTTACTTTTGATTTATGTGTGGTTGCTTTTTGTCCACTTGTATTGTTTTAAGTAACTATCTATGATGTTTTCTTGACTCAGCTTCACTCTACATCAGTTCATATAGATCTTCCTGTGTTTCTTACAGTTATCATACACATCTTATAGGGTACTAATATTCTGTTCCATGTTTCATGCCACAAATTTGTTTAGTCATTCCCCAGTTGATGGGTATGTACTTTGTTTCTAATTGTGAGCTATCACAAAAAGTGCTGCTGTAAATATTTTGTATCATATGGGAACTTTTTTCTTATTAGTCACTTCATTGGTTTATAAGCCCAGTAGTATAGTCTATGGCTCAAAGGGCGTAGATAGTTTAGTCATATTTTTTTTGCATAATTCCAATTGCTTTCCAAAATGGTTGCATCATTTCACAGCTCCTCCAACAATGTATTAGTGTATCTGTCTTTCTGTAATCACCCCAAAATTGACTAATTGCCATTTTTTGTCATTTTTGCCAATTTGCTAGGTGTAGGGTATAACCATGGAATTGTTTTGATTTTCATTTCTCTCATTATGAGTGATTGAGCATTTTTTCATGTAGTTTTAAATACTTTGCAGTTGTCTGTTTGAGAACTATTTGTTTGTATTCTTTGACCTTTATGTACTAGAAACTGGCTTACATATATTTATTAATTGTTTATATAACTTGGATACTAAACTCATACTAGAAAGATTTGAAACAAAGATTTCCCCCCATTTAATCACTTCCCTTCTTATCTTAGACTATTAATGTTGTTTGTAGAGAAGCTTTCAGTTTCAATAATCAAACTTATCTGTTTTCTCTTTTAAAATTGCTTCTGTCTCTTGTTTGGTTAAGAATGCATGTCCTATCCATACCTGTGAGAAGTGTATGCTCTGTGTTTCTCTTCTACTTGATTTTTAATATTAAGGTCATATATTTATTTATATTGTATTGTATAATGTGATATGAGATAGTCTAAGCCTAATTTCTGGACTACTTTTCCATTTTCCTAAGAGTTTTTATGAAATAGGGAGAGTTTTCTTAGTTACCAAATACTAAATGTACTCACTTTTTTTTTTTAATTCCCTTCGTATATTTGACCTTTTATTCCTCCAGATCAATTTAATCATTTTTTTTCCTAGCTCTTAAAAAGTAACCCTTTGTCAATTTAATTGGTTTGACACTGATGAATATGTGCATTTGATTGGTATGACACTGAATAAGTAAATTAATTTAGGCAGTATTTTCATTTTTTTTTTATTAACTTGGCCTCCCCATAGCAATTAATATTTCTCCAAGGTATTTAACTCTGTCTTTGTGTTAAGAGCATTTTGTAGTTGTGTTCATACAATTCCTGTGTGTGTCTTAGCAGCTAATTTCCTGTGTCTTTTTTACTTTCTGTAGTTACTTTAAATGGAATTTCTCCATCCCTTTATGCTGTGTTTTGTTGGTAATATACATAATTACTGACAATTTGTGTATATTTGTTTTATATTCTGTAGTTTTACTAATGTTGTTAATTGTGACAGTTAATTTTGTTGGCTCTTTAGGGGTCTCTAAGTAAATTATCGTCTTCAAAAGTTATACTTGTGGGAGCAGCCAGGTGGGTGCAGTAGATAGAACACTGGCCCTGGAGTTCACCAGCTCAGGACCTGAGTTCAAATCTAGTCTCAGACCAGACAGTTGACACTTACTAGCTGTGTGACCCTGGTCTAGTCAGTTAACCCCAATTGCCTCACCGCCCCCCCCCGAAAAGATGTATTTTTGTTTCCTCTTTACCTGTACTTATTACCTCAATTTCTTTTTCTTATCTCATGTTGTAACTAGTGATAATGTACACCCTTGCTTTACCCCTAATCTTGTTGGAAAGGCATTTAGTTTATCCCTGTTACAGATGATGCTGGTTCTTGGTTTTATTAAGGAAAGATCTGTTTATTCCTTTCATTTCTAGTGTTTTATTAGGAATGGGTATTGTACCTTGTCATAGCTTTTCCACATCTATTGATATGATCATATGATTATTGTTATTGGTTTTGCAAACGTTAAAGTGCCATATAGATGATGATGATCCTTTTTATTCCTGCTGCTGCTTTCTTGAGTTCTTGAGAATTGTGTTATTTGAGGATTTCATCAACAGTTCCAGATGCAGAACTGCTAGCTTTCATTGTGCACAAAGCAGTTTGATCCAAAGCAAAGTCTGGGAATCTGCCTCCTGATCTGAACTCTTTGAGTTCCTGACCTGGGTTTGAGCAATATAACTGTGGGTTGCTCCTGCTTGAAACTCTAGTGAAATGCTACTAGACTTTACCACTGTTAGCCAGCTGAAGGCTCTCCAAGTTCAGAGTAACAGGACTATAGTGATCCTTTGTACAGGGCTCCTTGTACTAGTTATTCTCTTGCAGGTTTCAGATTGGGCTAAGGACTAAATCTGACCTTCTGTCTTACTCTTAAGATCAGAGCCACACAGCTGCTGTATACTTTTGTACCTACTTCTACCTCAGTACACAGCTGTTACAGCTCCTTGTCCTGGAATCAGCTCTAGGTAGAAGGCCCCTTCTCACTGTCCACTGTACCTGTGACTAAGCTATAGACAAGTGACACCAGGTGACGCCTGTTCCTGTTCCCTGCATAAACTCTGAGACTTCTGTGTTGGATCTGGGACCATTTATTGTCCTGATTGAACAGCAGCCAGCAGGCCCTCATTCAATCCCCAGTGCTTAAAAGCTGTGAGTGCTGCATTCCTAGCTAGATCCTCTCCCCAGGTCCACAGACTTCTTTTTCCATCTTATGATATCAACCTTGTCTGGAAAAATGAGTCACTATAATATTTTTTCTTAGATTTCCCAATCAGTACCTGCTCTGGTATGTTTTCTGAATCTTTGTGGAATAGTTGTGAGGAGAGCTTGGCTATACTACTTCTTTGTACTTCACTATCTTGGTTGGTCTCCCTGTTATTATTATTTTTGTAATATCCTCATAGGGGATTCATTTAGCAAGCTTCCAAGCCACCGTTCTCACCTGATCAAACATTAGGCCTTTCTTTAGTTTGCACTAGCCACTCTTCCTCTAAGACCCAACTTTTGACTTTGGTCATCTCAGGTGTAAGGGTTTCAGATTCTCAACTTCATGCTAGGAAGAGAGTTCCAGAAATAATAGGAATATTTGATTTCTATATTCATATATCTCAAGCATTTAAGATACTGGTTATTTCATATTTAAGAATATGATATGTAACAAGAGACTGATTTTGTATTTGTCATTCTAAAGTCCTTTAGGTTTGTAGGTAACAATGGCTCTGGTGTCTTGGTAATTCAGTACCACTTCTGATATGTTGGATTTTGTAGCTGCCAATAATTGAGAAGTGCTATAGTGCAATGAAAAGAAATTTGGATCTGGCCTTGAAGTCAGATAATTTGGGGTTACATCCCTGGTCTGCCACTTGACAAGATTAAAATCTTGTCTCTTCTACTTATAAGCTGTGTGATATTGGGCAGTTCATTTAACCTTTTTGGGCATTAGTTTACTCCTCTGCAAAATTTCTATTCCTTTGATCCTTCAAATTTCTGATACACTTCAGAAGCATCTGCTTTAATACCATGCCGAAAGTAACTCATCCATTTTTAAGGCTCACTTTTAGCATATACCTAAGTAGCTCCCCATCTTTTGAAAAAGTTGGATTCTACTATGTGCTTCTATGTCCTTTTTTTGTAATTTAAAACCTGTCTTCTTATAGGAACAATGGTATAAATGGTGGTTGGGTTGTAAAGCTTACCTAACCCATGATTAAAGCTCTTTAATACTAAGAGTATGTGTTTGCTGTTCTGTGAGCACATGTCTAATACACATATCTTGCCAGTATAAAGGCAGGAGAAGGGAGAGTGGTATGCTTATATGGCTACAGGGGAAGGGATTTAGCATCGGTGGAGGTAGAAACCTCTACAGATATTACTGATAGAAGAATGACTAGAGGGAAATTATACAGGACAGGTTTAAGATGCAAGGTTGGTTAAGGCCCTCTCCTAAGCAGTACCGTTTCCCTAGTTAGCAGCATTAAGATCTGTATCAGTGGAAAAAAGTAGTTCCACAGGATAGTGGGCTAGGATTACAGGAGGGACTATAGCCACTCCTCAGGGAAGGTTCTAGCCACTAGGGCAGGGAAACATTTATAAATTGGGTTATGTTAGGTAGTGCTGAATACAATCTTTTCTTCTAATCTTCAGATATGCTGGTTTCAGTCACTCCCATTTAGTCATCTCCTGGTGCTTTCTTACTTATATTGATTTTCTATGATCATTATTATTATTAT